CCATTGAAAAGAGGAAGTATGCGGTGAAGAGTAGGATTACGGTTAAGGAAAAGAGGAAGTGAGGGAGGGGGAGAGGAAGTCCCGCCCTAAAGGGGCGGGGCACCTGTCACTTTTCGTGTGACGTCATTTGACGAATGCTGGGGTATATATTCTCTATTATTTTCCTTTGACTACTCAGAGCCAGGCAGTGGCCTAAGTAGTGCAAAAAGGTCTCTAATTCACACAGACCATTGTCATGAAGTYCCATCASCATTTTGCGGCAATTGAACAGATTGCACTCAGTTAGGATTCCAACCAGTGTGCTTAGAGAGTTTTCCTTGTCAGGGCGATGAGAGCGTTACCAAACCTAAGATTTGGGCCGTTTATCAGTTCCTGTGCCTGTCTACAGTCCATCGGCTCCCTTCAGCAGATTGAGTGTTGACGTCTAATCCAGGCCTATAGGGCAGTCCTACAGACTGTTGTTGAGATACCTACAACAGGCTCTGGTCCTTTGCAGTGGGCCTGTCACATACTTTATTTACCAAGTCCATAGACCCARCTGTTACATCAATGACCTCCTCCCTATTAACAGTTTGTAAGGTAGGTACATTGCCCTGAAGACTAGCATGTTTTCTGCAACAGTGATCTGCCTCTAGGGTTAATGTCAGAGCTCTCCCAGCTCACATGATGGGAATTGGCATCACAGCCAATTAATACCGGGAGGTCCTTATCTTTAGCAYAATCGACTTTGCCATAAACTCCTGGGATGGAGGTGGCTGCTGCGAATCAAACGGCAAATAAACAGAAGGTGCAATGATTGGTCTGGATTTGTCATTTGACTGAATGTCCAACTGCACTGCTACAGCATCGCCTGTTGTTAAGTAGGGCAGTGCAGTGTATTTTACACCTCTTGTCAGGGCTACTGCTGCTCTGGGTCTGGGGCTACTCACATTATATAGAAATGAGCCCCCAGGCATTCCCAGGCCTCAYACCATAGACTTAAMTATGCTGGGTTCCTGGATCAAGGCTGGGTCACCGGAGATTTTAGAACCCCCTTCTTCTGGGTACAGGGGGCCAGTTCCTTGTCCACTCAGTTTAAAACACTTGTCAATTTGCCATCCACCRGCGGTAGAAGACTGACRAGTGTTGACGGTACCCGGGTTTCACATCAGAGTTTTCCTTCTCCTTGGTGGGTTGCCTGTCAAGGCTATGAAGCCCCACCTGCCCGGCTGCTTTTGGTTCATGGTACCCTATTAGCCTTTCAGCTTATCCAGGCACACCCCTGTACACCAGGAACAGAGATCCCTGATCCACCACCTGGGGGACGCGCCTCTACGCATGAGCAGCCTTAGCGTGAGGTTTATGTTGACTAAGGTTGATCAGCTGTTGTGGTTGTTTTTAATCAGTTTAATTTGGTTATTTTTAATGAGTTGAAAACATATATCCAGTGATAAAATCTGTCCACTTTTTCCAGAAGATATTTTGCTAACAATCAGGCAGGTTTGACGTCAATAGGTCATGCCCAAGTTTTAGGCAATTATCCCACACAATGAGTGGCATAAGGAGTATATGTCGGAGATGATTTTCAATTATTACCACCTGAGTTGTAGCCGTTTTTGTGTTTTTGAAGGTCAGTTGGCTCTAAAAGTTAAAGTGTTCATGTACTTCCAATAATTACTTTCTGAAAGTTTCCATAAAATCCATTAAGGGGTTCCTGAGATAATCTGCTGACAGACACGTGTGCACCCCCCCCCCC